GTTTTTGCACCTGTCCAATAAGCAGCGCTAGTTTAAGCTCAAATACTTTGATGTGGGAATACATGTCAGATTAGTTTTCCCTTGCCTTGGAGCTGCAAGTTGAGGCCGTTTAAAATTTCTGACACATCTGTTAATAAAGGCGAGGTCCCATTTCCATTCTGTGTTGATCAGCTCTGGGACAGTTTTTCCCTTTGTCAGGAGAAAGGCATTGATTTCGGGTAGCTGGTCGTAAAAACGCTTCAAAACTCTGCCCCGGCTTAACCAGCGGACTTCAGTGTGGTAAAGCACGTCTCCGTGGGCTGATTCTAGCTCGGAGAGAAAGGCTTGGAACTGCCTGTGTTTAAGTCCGTTTGCTCTGATGAAGTTTATGCAGGACACAACCACCTTCATGACAGATTCCCACCTCAGAACTTTGCAGCTTGACGCTGGCTCGGTCACGATCAAAGTCACGTCAGAATATACCATTGTGTGAGGAGGTGAAGATGAGCCAATATTAACTATAAATAGTTCATAACTATGGTCAATTTTAATTAGAATGCCAACCTTTAAGTACGGATATGTTATGATGTTATGATAGGAAAATGCAATTTAATAAAAATTGGTTGATGTTTAGAGGGATTGTCTGGGATCGTTAAGTGGGCCACTCCAATTGCTTTGGCGGGCCGGATGTGGCCCGCGGGCCGTAGTTTGGGGACCCCTGCTGTAAAGCATTCTTTGAAAAAAAAAACATGTCATGGTTCATTCACCATAATGCCACGGTGCCCTTTGAAGAGCCAAAGCTCCGGCTGTAGCCTCAGCAGACATTATGCATATTTCTATGCAAATGGGAGAGTCTTTTTACCGGAAAACATGCCAGCAGCAGAGCCCAACATGGCATGAAAACAGATAGTTGGTGAGGAGAGCAGCAGGGCCAGAAGGATGAGACCTCCTGTCCAAGGACTGTCACAGCCATACACCTGGCCAACACCAACTGGCACCGACAGGAATATCTGCAAGTGAAAAGCCCCTGTTTACTTACAGTTCAAACGATTAGAACATTTTATTAATTGAGATGACAAATGTGGAAAATAGACTACAATCATTTTGATTGTGTGTATAATTTCAAAAAGCTAGTAGACTAATATGATTCCTGTTAAACCTGAGAGAGATTGAGCCTTTGGAAGGAATCATTAGGGTGGTGCAGGTGGTTATTTTGCTGGATATCCACCTGAAATCAGAGGAAAAGAAGGTTTCATTTGCATCTTAGCTGTGTGCATAGATGTACATCCTTGTGTGTGTGTGTGTGTGTATGTGTGTGTGTGTGTGTGTGTGTGTGTGTGTGTGTGTGTGTGTTGCAGGGCTGTGCTATACCTCTGGAAAGTAGGGGTGATTGGATCCTGTAGCTGCAATGTGTAGACACACCAAAATGTTAAAGGGCAGGGTGAATATTGGGAGGTCCCATTTGCTGGCAACAGAGGACAAGGCACTGGAGACCACTGGGCTATGAACAGAGGCAGGGAAATGAATTACTGATTACTGGACAGACAAATCATAACAAGTTGACATTATAATCCTGCCTTGGTCGTTTACATTTACCTCAAGGACATATGTAAGAATTTGTATGCTAGTACCGTATCTCTTCTTACTACTTACAATTAACAGTTTGCTAAACCCCTACTCAACCAAACAGCAGCTGTCCTGAGCTGAACAACTGCAGCCAAACCTGTTAATTGAAATATTACCCAAGCATTACGTTTGCCAAATGCATCAGTTAGTCCGCATCCTCAAAGCCTTTTCAGTGCATGGTGTGATGGCCCACAGTAGAAAATCATGTGAAACAAGGTTTAATTGCACCATTCAGAATCATTTAAAGTTTATACCAGTAAGTATTCAGGAAGAAATATGATTAGATAAACAGAAAGTCAATGTAATGAACAGAGATAAAAAATAGAGCTAGAAATTATATTAAATGTTTACAATATGACTGAGGTATTGTCTTCTGTAAGTTCTTATGGAAATATAAAATCTGCATCAGTTGTCTTCTCAGCAGGAAAAGCCGACAGTCGCTGGCTAGAAATGAGAAGCTGCTTTTGTCTTTCTGAAATCAAGGTCTCAAAGAATTTCTGCCCACGTTGTCATTGTAAAGTGCATATGTGCCGTATGAAGACATAAAGATTCAGATTGACAGGCGTGGTGGCAGCAGTCAGAGACACATTTACCTTGCTTGAGTCTGAATATGGCTCCTGGCCCTGACTGCATGCTGCTGCCTTTGTGTCTTTCCTCTTCACTGTATACGATTGCCAAGCGTGTGCAATCAAATGAATAATAATTTTTAGAAGAGAAAGGCTTACCACAACATGGACATGAACACATTTGGCAGTAGAAGCCACCAGTACCAGCTTCCTTTGGCAGAGAAAGCGGCCATCAGTATGCCGACCAAGGCTCCATTGTAGCCATATAAACCCGCTGATATGGCCTCCCTGAGGTGAATGTGACAGATGTACCCGACATTAGTGCAAAACACAGTTAAATGAGAAACAAACTGTGAAAACAGCACAGTGTGAAAGCTAAAGAAAGTGCAGCCTCAGGGAGTATAAGTGAAAGAGGCAGCGATAATGGTTTGATGCCAGGAGGACATTTTTTTTTTTTTTTTCTTCCCCGGATGAAGTCATATAAGGATAAAGAGATGCCTTCTGACCTGTTTTGTCCCAGCAAGATGGCAGACACAGTAGACACAAGGGTGCCCAGCAGACCATTCAGAGCCCACCAGGGGTTCTGCAGGAAGAGGCCGGCCGTGATTAGGAGCCCACTGAGAGGATTGCTGACAAACATGACCTGGGCCACCCCTCGGAAAATCCAGTCCAGCAGCTGGATTACTACACTCTGTCCTGCATGGGTAGTGACCTCATGTTAATCAGCTGTCATCTACTTTGCAAAAAGGCTTAAATATCAAACTAAAAAAATATTAAATTCTATAATATTCCAGCTGGATTCATCAAACCTACAACACCGGCATACTTTTATTAATTCAAGTACAACTGACATGTTATTGAGTTGACACCTACTTTTCACCCATTCTCCACAGAGATGCATGTCCCTGGTGAAAAGCCCAGCAGCTCTGCAGAGAAAGGAGCTTGGTGGAGCTTCTTCATGTGAAGGCTGGTTGCCGCTGTCCATACTTTCTGTCATTAGAGTTTATCACAGTTATTATTTTAGTAGTATTTTGACATAATAATAACTGGCAACTAATATTCTATAGATTATTTCAGTTTCCTAATTGCACTTAGATACTTGTAGCCACAAAGCAGCTACACTGCATATTTGACCTTTTCATCTTTAAGCACTATGGCTGAAGGGATGGCAGTGTTAGTCTGTGGTTCAAACTGAAATATCTCAACAACTATCACATGGATTGCCATAAAATTTTGCACAAAGATTAATGGTTCCAAGAGGATGAACCCTGCTGATTTTGGTGATCCCGTGACTTGTTCCCCTCCTCTAGTGCCACCAGTAGTTCAACGTTTTCATTTATCTACTGAACAGACAATGTATCCCACTGACTTTGATGATCCCCTGACAACTCCTATTAGATGGACTGCCATCAAACTGGCACACACATGTTGGATGAACTTTAACAACTTTAGCAATACCCAAACCTTTTAAAGAAATGTGACCTGATTGGTTTATGACCAAATAGATGCAAAACGAATGACATACGCATTAGCCTCAGCTGCACTATGTGGCTGGGGACTCTTAGTCTTGTTCTACTTACATGCCTCCCTGCACACAAACTAAATCCGTGTGAACATGCTTCTCTTTGCTCCCTGAGGAGGAGACAAATCTAACGGAAGTGTGAGCTAAAATCCAAACCTTGCTGCCAGTTTGCCACATAGTTTTCTATTCTTTTTATTTTTATATGTTTTGAAGGAGTGATCAAAGCTGATTTCCCGGAGAGCTTCCCACTGTTATCGTCAACATCCTCAGTCACAGTTCTCTGCATGAAAGCCTGAGTGTGTTTATGTTGTTCAGTGTGCAGAGAACCTCTTGATCTTTCAGCTCTGCTGGCAGCCTCCTTTCTTCTGTGCTACAACACTTCCTAAGAGTCAACAAATACTGAAGCTGCTGTGCACAACTCTGCAGAAACTTTTCAGATAAAGCTAAGGGATCAAATATAAGATGATCAATAACCTCTCTTATAAACGGTGATCTAAACAGGAATTTGTCCAGATACTGTTCATGACATTGTTATCTTCAAACCCTCTTATTGTTTGTGGCTATTGTTGTGGATTTGTTGCTTATTGTTTTGTGTTGTTTACTTTGTTTGGTTGTTTAGATAAGACCCTTGGGAGCTGCTTTTTTCCTCACAGTGCTGCAGATTACTGCTGAGGCTTATAAAATGTGGTCACACACATTAACTTCTGAATGCCAGGTGCAGGGTCGGTGCTCATTCATTCGTGGTAGAACGAAAATAGCTTGTCGAGTGGTGATAGCACCTTTCTAATTGTGTGTTTTTATGCAAATCAAGTTTTACCAAACAAAACAGCCAAACTCTGGATTCAACAGTGATTCTCCAACAAAACATAAAACAGCAATATATCTTCACATTCAGTGAGTCAATCAATAAATCGTATAGATAAATACATTCTCAGACTACCTCCAGACTGAGCTCAGAAAGAATTGAAGTCAGTAAGAAAATGGATGTCTGAATGACTCATGTACTGACTTTTATTTTATGGGGAATCTGGTTTATTAATTTATAAATATTTCCAACTTTAAATCAAGTAATACAGAGAGGGCAAATATTTTGCTATTATTAAATTTAACAATTAAATTTTACTATTTATGATCAATGCAAAAGCACCAAAGTGAAGCCAAACTGTTCATCTGTTCATTTAGAGTCATGAAACTTCTTATATACTAAAGATTAAAGAATGGAGTTTTTCTTACCTCTTTGAGTTGAAGATAAATCACAGATCTGTTATCTACCAGCTGCTTGCTAAGCTAATGAAGGCACACATACATACTTTATATAAAAAGGCCAGATAGAAAGAAATCTGCATAATGTTATGTAGCCTCTTCCTGCGATATATTAAAGCCTTCTTCCTTGTCTCTTTTCCAGAGGAACCCCGACTGGAGCAAAGACCAAAGTCTCTCTATTAAACTCAGCAGCTAATCAGGGATAAGAATGATCTTATTACGAAAAATATTTCCAACTCAAGCAAAATAGAGGCCCTTGTTTCTGGAGTATCACATTCTGAGTACAAAGAAGGGTCTGCCAATTTCACAAGGAAGTAAGAGACCATAGCGCGTCCTTTGATATATGTAAACATCTTAGAAGACAAATTAGACATAAAAAAAACCCTGATAATATCGCCTCTTAAATCAATCAACATTAACATGAATTTAAATATATTAAACAGCCCTTTATTTTGACCAGGTTCATGACTTACACAGATATGAAACGATCAAGAGCTCGAGGACCAAATGATGGAAGGAGAAAACAAGGTTACACTGAGCTTCAAGTTAATGATCTAACAGTTAGCGAGACAGAGTTCATCCTCACCACAAAAGGAGTGAAATACCGTACTGCTAGTTAAACAACAAGCTTAATGGCACACAATACAACCCCAGTATGATCAAAATATAGGAAACATCAGTATGAGGTTGATCCAAAGCAGGTTCTGCAGGTCTTTTTCCTGGTGAACATGATTATAATATATGAATATAATAATACAGTATTATAATACTGAGCTAAAATATTCTCAGTAACGACAATGTAAAAGAAAATGACTAGTTTTTGTAATGATGTTCCCTTTATTTTGAACATGTCTAATTTATTATGTGAAAATAAATGTAAAGAAAGAAAAAGCAAATATGTGGAAATCTGAGGGGCCACTGGGGGCCTCCTGTGCTAAGACTATATGCAGTGATGGAACTGAGAGTCAGTTAAAGTTGGTAAATTTCATTATAACTTACAATATTTAGCATAACAAGCTCAGCTGGAGTCTTTAAGAGACAATTAAACAGGAGAACACAATCAGGAAAAGAAATCAGACATGATAATATGGACATACAGTACAAAGATTGTGGTCATATATGCACAGAAACTGTACACATCAATACACACATAGACAGACAGACACCCACATATACACTCCTTCACTCCCACTCACTCACTCACTCACACACACACACACACACACACACACACACACACACACACACACACACACACACTCATACACACTCAAAGAAGCATTCTCCCGAGATCCGGTGTCATATTTTTATCTTGACTTTAGAGTGAGTCAGCGCCGTGCTGAGTGCTGAACTCCTGGAAATCCTCAGGGATGGTGTCTGTGGAAGTGAGAAGTAAGGTATCATGAGCCGAGCTGGAAATGTAAAACCAAGTGAGGCCAAACTAATTCTCTTCACAGTTTCAGTCTTGTTTATGACAACAAGATAAAATATAACAGTGTTCCACTTTCCAGACACAAGTCATAGAGGTCATTAAGGAATGATATATTATCTTTTGACAAGACCACTGAGTCAACACTAAAGTCTGCAGACTAATATCACCATACTAATATACTCAAAAGCAATTCTAACATGCTGATGTTTACCAGGTTCACCATCTTAGTTTACCATGTTAACATATGGTAATTAGCACTTGTGGGTATTTTAATCTTAAATTTTGGACAAATTGAAAGTTTGACTAGATGATGGCGATAGATGAAAAGTGATTGCATTACTGAGGGGAACATGAATGTCTGTACCAAAGTTCATGGCAATCCGCAGATAAGCTCAGTGTTTCTAGCTTTTCGTCACGTTAAGAGACACAGAAAAATATTAACATACAGTTATAATGGACGGATTTGATAAATCGTTTCCTTACCATTGCAGCGGTATTTCAAATTGGACCAGATGATGTTTTCTTGAGAGAAACAGAACACACCGAGTCGTCCTCCTCTCATAGTCGTGTCAATAGTCACACCAGAGTCTGCAACCAGCTCAGTTCCCTCATAAAACCGTGCTCTAAACAGAACAAAGAGGATTTTTTTTAAAATCTTGTTTACTTATTTACTTTTTTGCTGAGAATTAGATTAGAAAAATTGATGCAACGCTCATGTCTGTACGATAAATATGAAGCTACAGACAGGAGATGGTTATCTTAGGTTAGCTTAGCATTAAGACTGCAAGCAGGGGTAAACAGCTCGCCTGGCTCTGTCAAACTAGACATAGAGAGTTAATCTGAGTTTTAGAGGTGCTGCTAGTTGGATTTTCTTACCTGTGGAACACACATATGAGACTGGCATTTGTCTTACCTGATGTAGCCAACCTGTGGGCGGTGCTGCAGGTACCAACGGTAGGACACCTTGTCCTTCCAGCCTACATTTCTGGGGTCCTTCCACAGCAGACGCACCTGGTCGTTGGTGTCTCCCGTGTGCCACAGCGAGTTTCTCAGGTGCTCCCCGGGGCCTGATTTAGACTTGACAGCCTGACGAACAGACACAGAGAAGTGAGAAGAGCGATGTGGAGGCAGACAGACAAGATAAAAGCAGAAATGTGGAAAAATACAGATAAAAATAGGATGAGTATGAATGTGCTGCTGCTGCGGGGGATTTCTGACATGACTTGCACTTTCACCTTAAGCTGGATGCCGGGCTCGGCCACAGCTCTGAAGGGTGTCGCTTGCCAGTAGGTCTGTTCAGTCTGCTTCCACATCACCACGTAGAAGGAGGATGAGTCCTGGTAGCCAAAGATGAAGCCGGCGTAGTCATCGTCAGTCACTGTATTCACGTGAAATGTCCCCTCAAAGTCCACTCCACTGAAAGCGGTGTAACCTGACAACAGAGGGTGCGATTAACACATTATATATGTTCAGAATTGGAAAAGTTTGGCGCACATTTGACTGACAGTCAACATGGAGAGGAAAGACATCTCACCAACAGCAAGTCCTGGATCACTGTTCATGGTCTGAACAATTTCCATTCCCTGTGAGAGGAAGAGGGTTCAGTTTTTAGAAATGGATTACACCTGCAATAACTGGTTTCCGGCCACTTCCTGGCAGCGGAAGCGAGTTCTGAACACAACACTGACATCGTGGCAAATCGGTTAGTAAACAGTTACTTATTTACACTATACATCCATCAGTTATGGAGCAACATTAACATTAATTTGGCTAATTTGTCAGGCTCTCACATTACACGTTGTCATAGTTGTACAACTTTGAGCAAAGAAAGTTTCAGCACAAATCTTACCTGGTTTAAAACGACCCAGTTGGGGTCGATCTGGGCGTCGCCCTCGGGGTCCAGCACCACTGTCTGATAGGCCCTGAAGTCAGTCAGGGTAACCTCGGCATTCTCAGGACAGTTGTCAATCCTGTCAATCACTTTGTCCTGGTCAAAGTCAGACTCACACACGTCTCCAACTCCATCATCTAAGAGACAAGACAGGGACATTAAAACTCGCTCCCCAGTCAACAGTGAGTCATCAATTCTTAGTCAAGGTACAAGTGCAGGCACTTGTTCCATTCCCTTATAAACCAGCACTTTTCCCCCCCTTGTCACAATGAGGAGATTTTACACCGCCTTCATCAACAAAGTCAAAAAGGCCTACTCCAAAGGAACTTGCTGTCCTCACTCAGAAGCTGCAGAGATGCAAGGCCTGAATATAAAACATCACAAATATCCTTCTGAAGGCAAGATGATGTCTTTTCTTAAAGGAATATTCACGTTGTTGGAAATTACAGTGTGTTGCATTTGTTAAATTTTGATGGACTTGTATCAAAGCTCACCCTGGTCTACACCCTGCCGTGAGTGTGTGTTCTGAATTAAAAACCGCTATGTTGCATTTGCGATGGTAAAAAGTGCTATGATGTAATCTCAGTATCAACTTCTATCTTGTGCTATGTCAGGTGAATTTCTGAATCTGTCTGATGGTGTGGGTTTGTAAAAGGAGGGAAATAAGTAACAGAGCGTTTTCTCTGTATTGGAGTCATGATAGACTATTAAGTACTACAACTATAAACTCTAAACAACCCGAAAATAACAATTAAAAAAACTAACAATTATTACAGAGGCACAAATAGAGACATACATCCTTTGGACACAGCTGATCATACAACTTTAAGAATCACTTTTAAGACACCCTGAAGGTCTCTCTCCACTCTACATCACTGAACTCCCTGACTACCAACCCTGAACTACCCTGCAACACTTGATTTCAATTGGCACTCCACTCCCATTGACCTCACAGCCCATTTTCACGCAAGTAATGTCACAAAATTGCCAAATGGGTGCTAGCGCAAAAAATTGTGCTTTTACCCAACAAAATTGCCACTTAATCTGCCCAAGGTTGCTCTTGCTTGATCTCCGTGGGTATGAAATTGGGGCGGAAAACTGCATGTCAAGGTCAGTCAGGAACAGTTCAGGGGAAATATGGACGCTGCGATGAAATTATGAACATTTACCTCTGAGCACCAAGCTGGTTTTCAGTCAAAGGTATCAACAATAATATCTGAACATTACTGTAAACTGTTTTCATTGTGAGGTGTGTGAATGTGGTACAGAATGTGTTTGAGACTCACTGTTGTCGTCAGTCTGGTCAGGGTTTGGCACCAGCCGACAGTTGTCTGGTCCGGGTGGTATAGAGTCTGGGATACCATCATTGTCATCATCATCGTCACACTCGTCACCCAGCCCGTCTTTGTCGGTGTCCAGCTGGGAGCTATTGATCACGAATGGGCAATTATCCTTGGTATCCTGGTGACCGTCGCCATCACTACAGGGGAAGTGACACAATCGCATGATGTGAATAAAAGCTGTAGTAGTAGATATTTTAGGTGAAGAAAAAATATCTATATATGATCAGATGTCTGCAACATAACAACATAGAGACTGTGAAAGCTTCATTACCTGTCTTGGTTTGTGTCGCAGGAGTCTCCAACCAGGTCGTTATCAATATCAGACTGAAATGAGAGCAGAGAATTCACGTAAAGACCATCCATCCATCCATCCATCCATCCCCCCACCCACCCACCACTTATCTGGCTCTGACTGACCTGGTTCGGGTTGGGGATGTCGGGGCAGCTGTCGCAGGCATCTCCCACGCCGTCTCCGTCCCGGTCCAACTGGTCTCTGTTCTGGACTCGCTGGCAGTTGTCCAGGAAGTTCTTCAGGCCTGATCCCCATTCACCCAGATGAGATAGTTAGTGTCATTTAGCACGGTAAGCCACGCCTGTCCCCTTGTACAGCAGTGGATAAAGATTGTTGTTATGTATAATTACATTATATTCAGAAGTGGCACAGCTGCTTCAGCTACCCTACTTTGTCAGTATAGAGAATATTTACTGCAGCAGAATACAAACTGTTTTCATTGTCACATATTCTGGCTCGCCCAATAGAATAATTAGTTGATCAAAAAAAATTAATGTGCTTAATTTTTTAATAATTAATAATTAAAGTCAATTTTCCACTAAAAGTGCCAAACATTGTGTAATTTCAGCCTCTCAGTTGTTGCTATATTTCTTCCTCTTATTTGATAGTAAACTGAAAATCTAACAAGCAATTTAAAGATATCAAAAAATGCCACCTTGGGCTTTAAGAAATTCTGATGATAATTTTTCACTATGTATTGGGATTTTATAGACCAAACGATTAATCATTTAATTGAAAAAATAATAGACAGATTAAATGATAATGCAAAAAAAAAAAAATCGTTAGTGGCAACCCTATTACAAAACAAATCATATTCCTGTCCAGTGAAATTATAACCAAATATGGGTGTTGATTACATCGATACAGTCATGGGGTGTTTACTTGATCTGAATTAAGTTTTGAGTAATCAATCATTTTCTTGGCAAACTTGCCAGTAATTGAAAATTTACATTGATCAGCCACTGAGTGAATTTATATTTGATTAGTGGACACATAGACATAATATCCACACTACTGCGTGATCACTGATCAATTTCACAGCATGTTGTTTCTAACTTCACCACTAGGTTGCACTGTTGCATTTCCTATGTAGGTGAACACCAGTTTGTGTTCAGAGGCTATTTTTTATTCTTCGCATGGAGGCAGCAGCAGCAGCACCACAAATGCTTAAAGGTCAAGCAGCAGCGATAGAGGAAGAACTATCTTCTCTCCTGTGGGGTTTTTTGAGGTGTAATCATACTGGTGAATGATCAAAGCCTGTGTTCGCTCTGGGGTCACACTGCTATTGCCTTTGACTTTTTTTTCTTTTTTTTTGAAGTGCTGTTTCCCACTGCTGAGCTGCCTTGTAAAGCCATCCACGCTATGACAGTGATATATTTCTACAACATGATTAAAAGAGATGTGTAATTTAGTGTAAGTTCTGTCTTCATCATTGTGATTTTTGTGTAATTTATAGGAAATGGTTCAAATGTGAAGGAGAGAACAGAGCAATGAGTGGATGCCTTCATTGATGCCGGTTATATAACATGAGCATCAGTGTTGGTGATGTAATTTCTCTCCATACCATCTCCATCCATGTCGTCATCACAGGCGTCCCCTTTGCCGTCGCTGTCAGTGTCCCTCTGGTCAGGGTTCTCCACCATGCGACAGTTGTCACAGGCATCGCCGTGGCTGTCCTTATCACTGTTCCTCTGGTCCAAGTTGGGCTTCAACCAGCAGTTGTCCTGAGACAGACAGAGACAGGCTGGTGTGAAGTAAAAGTGTGTTTGTGTGTATTAGAGCTGAAACAATGAATTCCACTAACAGATCAAAATAAATGATTTTGATGAGTGATTGTTTAAAGTTTAAAGGACTAGTTCAACATTTCACAAAGAGTTGAGAGATGAGAAGATTGATGCCACTCTCATGAAGTAAACATGTAGCTACTGCTAGCAGCCAATTAGCTTAGATGAGCTTAAAGACTGTTTTACTTCCATGACTTAGTAGTATAGATGTAGTATGGATCTTCTGATATAACTCTCAGCAACAAAGCCAATAAGCGTATTTCCCAAAATATTCAACTATATCTTTGCATATCTTTGGGTTTTGTAGTAGTTGTCAGAGAAAAGGGGAAACTGTGATGTGCGTGTTCCCCTATCTTATTACTAGTTGCAGCCCCTGTGTGCTTCCATGGATTTGTTAAAACATTTCCACCAACCTGCTCGTTTGGAATACCATCACCATCTGCATCGTCATCGCAGGCGTCTCCGTGGCCGTCCCTGTCGGCGTCCTCTTGACCAGAGTTAGGAACGTAGACGCAGTTATCCTGTAATGAGATGTTAGAGTAAAAGAATTTAAAAAAAGGCCAGCCTATCACAGCAAGGTTGTATTTGCTGACAATTAGTACTTTTAAAAAAAAAAGAAATGATTTTACCTTTCTACAGCTCACATCCTTGCATTTGAGTTTCTCATCTGGGTATCCATCAATGTCGGTGTCCTTCCCGCACAGGTACCCGTTACCTGCCCAGCCAATTCCACACTGACAAGACAAATGAAACTCCTCAGAAAATCAGATAGCTAGTATGTTCACTTGTGTGTGGTTATAAACAGTGTGTGTGTGTGTGTGTGTGTGTGTGTGTGTGTGTGTGTGTGTGTGCAAGTTGTTTATAAGAATGTGCGAGTGGTGTGAAATCCTACCTGACAAGTGACTGACCCATCTCTTTCCACAAAGCACTGGGCGTTGATATCACAGGGGTTGGTCAGGCTGTTGCTGCAGCTGACCTCTGGTTTACAGCCCTTCACCTGATCTCCTGTGAAACCTGACTTACAGCTGCCGCACTGATAGGAGCCCTGTGCAGGAGTAAGGGCAGCTACGTATGAGCTTCTTCACACCGCAGTTTGAAAAGTCACACACAAATGGAAATGATTGTCCCGTAGGAACCTGACAGTCGTCTTACCACAGAGTTGTGACAGACTGAGTTTGCGGTGCAGCCTCCGTTGTTGGGTTCTTTGCATTCGTCAATGTCGTCGCACACCTGTATTGTGCAATATGAGTCTAATGTAACATGTGAAATCATCCAAAAGTTTGTTTTCATGACCATTTACCATCTTTACTTCTCTTCATATTTCAGGGATACAATAATCACAGCACAAAACACACATGAAAGAGGCCACATCACTCCATGAGCCCTGATAGGGGCTAATTGACACTGTAAGTACTCTTTAAACTACCTGGTACATGTTAATTAATTACGTATTACACAAAGGGGTTAACAGGGGCACACTTTATTGATTTCTTCAGTTCAGTATTGCTTGTGCATGCACTTCAAAAAAAGTTGGTAAAAACATGTAGAAAACTGACTGTCGTTTGTTGAATAGATTAACGTTCACCACACTACTCTTCATATTATAATTTGCCCAAAAATCATAGTAATGTTTGTTTCTGACTGTAAGAGCACATATTCACCCCCTTAATTATGTGATATCTGATGATATAACAGGAAGCTTTTCTAGGTTCTTCTTCAACATCAGTTTTAAGAGTCAGACGGATCCTAAAATTACACAATTTTTCCCCAGTTTTTATGATAATTTCAAAAGCATACACTGATATTTTATAGCTAAAACTAAAGAGTTACATCATTCTTCCCAGGCTTAACCTGTGCTTTGTTCCCAAGCAGCAATAAAAATGTACGCTATGTTAAAGTCCCCCTCCGCTCAAAAATATGTTTTGCTTATTGTCACTTCATTTGGACGTTTGGCCTTCACAGTGCAGAATAAAGTATGTGCAGAATTTGATACTAAAAGACTGTTTTCACATCCATCTGCCGGAGGATGAAAGTATCTCTGCGTGCATCTTAAATTTCATTCAAGTTTTATGCGACATCACAACTGGTTTGAGGCCAGTGATGGAATTTACACAAGTGTGATGCCGAAATCTGAAACCTCCAGGTCACAAACACTGAGACTGGACTCTTCAGTACAGTTGGATTCATCTTATGTCCAGCAGTTGAGCATCTGAAATGAAAATTATTTGCATATACAATATATAGATTGTGGATTTTTCAATGAGGGAGAAGGAGTAGATGTAATTTTAAGATTTTCTTTTAAAGAAGTTATTGGTTCATTTTTCTGGGGAACCACAGTATTCAAAAGTCTTTCCAAATGTCTTTTTTGGGGCAGGGGGTTCTTTAATGATAAGTATACTATTCATATTTATAACTTTTACTTGTAAGAACATCATAATTTAAAAACACAGTAAATGATACCATAAATTCTTATAAATTACAATAATAAAAATTGTATCTAGTTGCACCTAATAACTGGCAACTAAGTTTAGATGATCAGTAAATACACTATTTTATTGATATTCCATTTGTACTTAACAATTATACATATTGGAGAGCTGTAATCCCTGTAAGTGCAATAGCATGTCTTTTTTTTGATATATGATGTAATTTGTATGCATCCATTAAAAAGAAATCTCATTTTGAACTCCATATTTTATCCACTGTCTTACCTGTTTGTTGGTCTGAGCAAACAAAACTCCCACACCCTCCACTGGCAGGCCGGTGTAGCCCAGAGGACAGGCGTCGCAGCGGAAGCCCGGGGCAGTGTTCACGCACTTCACTCCGGGGAAGCAGGGGTTAAACTGGCACTGCAGGAAGGAGGACATGAGCTCTGTTGAAGCTGCAAAATGTATGTGGTTCTCACAGGGCTTCTCCCCAAAAGCTTTTAGGTTTGATGACACTTTTGCTCATGCAAAAAAGAGAATGCTGAAGGGGCCAGTCCTTAGAAAAGAGGTCAGTGCAAACACACACATACTTGTACTTCTATCCTTATGAGGACCTCCATCTGCAACAGCCTTTCCTCAACTTTCACTAAATTGCCAAACTTTTACCTTTATCTGCAGCTTTGGTCCCCAAACCCCATGACACCATATTAACTTATGTGCCTTTAGACCCTGTGTGCCAGTTCCATGATCCCATTGCCACATTCTTTGTCTAACTCCCAAAAAAACCTGGTGGTGAAATTAGTCTGTAAAATTTCTCATAGACCTTTTGAGGCCTGGAGAATCTCAGTTCTGAATTATTCAAATTTAAAGTCCTGTGTCAGCTCACTCAGAACTCAGAGACCCCAATTTATAAAAACAAAACTCTTTCTAAACCATCATTCCCAGGCTCGTAGCTTCACTGAGAACCAGTACACTAACAGTAGATAATGCCCTGTGGTACAGCTCTGTATTTTCAAACAAAGATCGTCTAAAATGGGGGCGTCATGGTGACCTGCTGATGCATACCATGTACTGTGATTTTAGCATCCCCAGTTCAAATCCAGTGGCAGAGTTTCCGTGTGAAAATATACAAATTTTGCCAACAAAGGAACAGCCTCAGGCCCACAATTGCATCATGGGAATTGAACATAATTTGCACATTACCCACCCTCCCATTACATTTATATTTATCTTCTTTTGGCATCAAATGGTGGAAATAAATACCTTGCCACCGTGCTAATTGATCAACATATTTATCGCTGTATTATGCATGGAATTTAAGATAAGTGGACAAAAATACAGTGAAGATACACCTGTTTTTCACGCAGACGGTATGCCACAAAATGCCAAACGTATTTAGGGTATGTGCTGTAGTTCAAGGACTCCCTTTGAGCACTTTTCAGTTTACACTGAAGGTGAGGGAGGATTTAACAAGCTGTTAGCTCACACTGATTTTCATCTGGATCCCAAACCGGTATTTAAACTTGCAGCTACGTTGTCATCAGGTGATATATGAACTACATAAGATTTTTTGTTGGTATAGGCCAACTTTACTCATCTTAACTTTACCATAAGGTTAGCCCTGAAATACAAGAACTGAGGATGGGCACGGATGACCACACTTTACTGTGTAAATGTCCTTAATCTGAAGGACTTAAACTCATTGATTCTCACAAGAGTAGTAGAGAAAACACACACACTGAGCCTTACCTCGTCCACATCATCACAGTTGAAACCATCCCCGGTGTACCCATCAGGACAGGGTCCACACTCAACACCATCCGCTGTCTCTATACACATATCGTCACGGAAACAGACACCTGGGGTACACCTTGGTTTCACCACCTCAGTTCCACCCAGGCCTTTAAAACAACAGATGAATATCGTAGTTTCATTTTGTTTGTTAAACTATCCTAAAGTAGTCATGAAGCATCATATTTACTGGTGAGGGACATGACTGTTATTGGAGATTCCCTTACCGCAGGCCTGACACTCGGAGATGGTGTTTCTGAGAAATGAGGTCTCTTTGACCTACAAAAGGTCAAACATAAACACGTTTATATGCAGTCAGGCAAGCTGTCAGGGAGGTCAGGGGTGAGGTAGCAGGGATTAAGTGGCCTCAGAGGAACTGTTAGTGGTATTTACCTGCTGAATGAGGACATCTTTCAGCTCATTTATCACCTTTGTTAACTCCAGCATTTGATTTGACAGCTGCTTCGTGTTGACCCCTAAGAGAAAGGGACTGTTATTTTGTTTGACTGAAGCAGAGACTCTCAAGTCTCTCTGGGAAACAGTGACTGTTGTTTTCCTACCGCTGTGATTGTTTTCCTGGGAACATTTGGCCGTCTCCATGGACGTTTACTTCCTAAGAAAGAATCTTACCCAGAGTTTGGACGGAGTCCCTTTGTTGGAAATGGCAGTCTTGTAATGAAGCAACATTCTCAAAGGAGTCTCCAACCACCAGTTTGAGCTCGTCTAAACTCTCCTGTTAGAATAAAAAAAGTCAAAGTGGACGACTAAGCCATTTGGAAACCTCCAGATCCATTATTGAGACAGAAACATATTCATTATTGTATGGAAATACTGTAAGTGATGGGTCACCTGCTCTCTGGCTTGCATGGTCTTTAGCTCCACCATACCATAGCCTGCTGGCAAACCCTGGAAGGCAGCAGGGAGATCCCTGACCGTCTCCACCAGCCTGCAGTCCAGATGCAGCTCCACCCCGCCTGGCCCCTGCTGCTGCAGCCCCCTCAGGTGGAACAACAGTCGGTGTTGTTGGCCGTCTGCCAGCACCAGGTTGTTGAAGGTTACCGAGCTCATCCTCTTGTCAGTCCGCAGGTAGCGTAACACAGCTATGAGAGGACAGAGCAGAACAAGAGGAAGCAGTGAAGAGATAACAGAGACAGACAGCCATGCTAGCGGCTATGTGAGGCTGTACACAGTGGTGCTTTGAGCGAAATGGTAACATCAAGGACAATGCTAACACGCTGATGTTTAGTAACAAAATTTACCATGTTCACCAACTTAGTTTAGCATGTTAGCATGCTAACATTTACTAATTGGCAATGATACGACTACTGTTCTTAGATTTGTTTTGCTAGGCGGCAAATATTGGATAAATTGAAATGTTGACCTGGTGATAGTGCTATGAAACGTCAGAGGATCATCACTAAATTTTTTGTTGATTATTCTAGTTTATGTTTATTATTGAGTTCATACAGAGAGGTGACGTTTTACTAGAGGTGTTTCTAACATTTTGTCCATAGTGGTGTGAAATGTGGCCACCCATCTAATCTAAGTAGAATAGTCTCTCTTCTTCTAGCTCTGTTTTTGTCTCCTCCCAATCCTGAGGTAAATATACTGTAACTTTGTCTGTTGCTGTTTCATGCTGGGAGTTCACGAAAGATTTTTTTGTGAAAAAAAATTGATGAGACAAAGTTGATGAGAGCGGTGAGAATGAACTAAAACAGTAAAGTTGCGACCGTAAAAACCAAAACAATGAGCAGAAAGAAGCTTAAATGCTTTGTTGAGCTGTGGAGAACTGCAGAATCTTGTTATAATTCTCTGAGGGTTTATCATCATCAACCCCTTTCACATTACACACAGTCATTTAACCCATTGTTAATATAAAAATAGGATTAGTGCAGCTTTACACTGTGCCAAAGCCTCTTTCCTGCTCTCTTACCTCTGTTGAGCTTCCCCATCACGGTGAACTCAAAGTACTTGCTGTTGTCCCGTGGGTTGTACAGGCCAAACACAGTGGTTCCGGTCTTGGGTTGCAACTTGAAGGAGGCTAGGATGAAAGCCTCATTCACCCCTTGCTCAGCCAGACCCCCCTGCAGCAGGTCTGGCAGGCAATCAGGCGAGGTGAGCAGATCATAGACTGTTGACAGGGATGGGAAAGAGACAAGCGGTAAAGCACATGAGTAATGGATGATGAGATATGAATATTTACAACCCACAGCCGCGCTCCGATCCCAGAGTAAACACATCCTGAGTCAACAAGAAGATGATGATGTTGACCCGGTGTTTGTTGCTGTTTTGCGACGCCGTGTCAATCAGTCAGAACGAACTTGGCAGACAGAGTTGGCTGGTGGATTTCTAAGTACATCTGAGCTATGTACTGTGACTTTCTTTCTTTATTTGGATCCCCGTTAGCTTCCACATTGTGGTTGCTTGTCCTCTGTTGGATGTATGGTGTTTTTTCTGTATTTGGTTAGGTCTGTACTAAAGCTGTTTGGTTGATAAAATGTATGTGAGCTCTCATATCCCTTCATTGTTCTCACAGGCAGCTGTATGGCAGAATTTAGACATATCTCCTGACAGGCTTAGTGGGAGTGAAATGCCAGAGAGACGCTGTACACTTATGCTGATGTTTAGAGGCTTCTTTTAATAACGTGACTTGGGAACTGGGCAGGCCAGGAGAGGATGTGCAGTGAATCTCTAGTCTACCATCTGCACACATCATGAATACACAAGTACCCTAACAGCAGTCCACAAGGCCCTGTGTCGCGAGGGAGCAAAATTGCTCCCAAATGCTCCCAGAGACTGGCTGTTGTCAGCCAAGATTGCAAAGCATGATGAGATCTCTTCTTCTTTCTTTTATCTCTGTCCTCTGTCCGTGGTCCCTTGTGTGTTTTGTCCGGCACATGGTGTATCTCAGCACGACACGGGGGGGGGGGGGGGGGGGGATGTGTGCAGTAAAATGTGACTAAGCCACTGAAAACGCCTGCTCACATGGTGTTTTGTTTGTATTTGCGATTGCCAAAATCACCTGGTGAGTATTGCACAAACAGTCATGTGACTTATTACTCTGTTAAACTGACAAAAAAAAATGCAAAAGTGAACCAAACAACTCGAGAGCAAATGATAGTCATTGTGCGCTTCACATTTTAAGAGTTACCACAACATTACAAAGACGCACACACTTGCACATAAACACACAAACCCGCTGTTCATAAGTCTTCTGGACAGAGGGCTTTGTGGGGGTCAGCGTTGTCTTACACCAGAGATCCTGAGAGAGTGCCTCATTTCACCTCCTGATTAACCTCCGATTTCAGGCTTCATAAAACTAGCTCTGCTGAAAGCCATAAAGTAATCCAGTGTCTTGCCCTCTCCTTAACACCAGCATATAAATCTGTCAGGGTTATAGATTACTACAAAGTGTATAAATGGTCGGCATTCTTCTTCTCAGTGCTTAACAAATGCTTCACACTTGGGGGTTGGATGTAGAAAGCTGTGACTTATCATAAATTCATGAGAAACTTAGTCAACCGCTACCAGTGAAGAAGAAATGACATCATCAACATCAGTATGTAGTTAACATAAACAGTGAGGTCACATTTTTCGCTACTGCCATGAGTAACCAAGCTAATGGGACCAGAGATCCATTTTACTTCATGATGTCAAATAGTGTAATAATAATATTTATGTGCTCATTTTCTGAGTCATGTTTCTGGCCAATATGAACTCTCCTATGTTTTTCATCTATACCATCCATTATGTTTCGCCAGCTAATTGCTAACTGTGTCTGTCCGCCATTCAGTGCTATGAGAGCTGTGAGAGTGAACCAAAACAATAAAGTTGTGTGCCGTACAGCTAAACACTGAGATAAAACTCCCTATAAAGCCAATTCAAGTGAGAATTCTCTTTAATTTCATCATTAGAAGTGATTCCCTTTATTGTCACATTGATTTCACATTTTTATTTGATACATCATTATGATAAAAATATGGATTACACCCGCTGTAAAGATACACTTTGTCCCTGGCCAGGGAGTCTTTGTGCTCAGAGTAGAAAGTGAATTTCGAATTCCAGTAATCTCATCTCCCAGTGAAGTCATCCTTGAGACATTAATATTGATCAATAACCCCAATAACCCTTTGCAGAGATAGAACGGCTGTTTTGTGCTGCTTAAATATCACTTACCGCAGCTTTAAATCGGTCTCGCTCCTTTTAAACACAGTGAATTCCAGTCAGGCAGACAATATGCTATTTGCAAGGGAAATGATAGATGATGAACTCCATTAATCTGGACTTGCTTTATACAAAACATCAGTCAGCTATCGCCGAAAGATTGTAGGGATTAATGGATGCACGAAAGGCACGCCATCAATCAACTGGGGTGATTTGAAAGAAGCTGATAAACTATAAACACCAACATTTCTACAAGTCGACTGCAGCTTCAGTTTGTGTGTGTATGTGTGTGTGTGTGTGTGACCTTGAACGAGTTTGTGTGTGATTGGAAGTGTGTGTCAGCGAGAGAGAGCGAGAGAGAGAGAGCAGAGTCTGTGTGTATGTGTGACTTGAAGTTCAATGTTGCGCCCAGATCGTCTCTGATTATTCCCATGTGTGTGACCTAGCTGGGACTTTGTTTGAATTAATACAAGCCAGAGAGCCGAATCTCCTGAGCTGGAGTAATCAAGCAGATCCAGCTGCATAGATATGAAAAGCAGGGTGACTTTACTTCAGGAGAAAGATGAAACTCTGTCTACTTATATTCTTTATCTTAGTCTACCTCCTTTCACAAACATAAAAATGTATTTGACTCTTTTACAACTGACAGGGATATTTAGCATTTTATTCGTACCTTAGTGACTATCACACACCATGGCTAATCCTTTGTGTTCTTTGGGTCTGCATATGATATTCTCTTTCACAGTGTCTGCTTTATCCATTATGCATTGAACTCATACATAGTGTGTTAAAATACCCAGTGGTGGAGCCATTAAATCTTTTTTGACAGATAATGAAAATGGAGGATTGCATCACAGGCAGGATGTTGCATTCAAATAAAATCAAAGATATCTTTTTTTGTGTGTTGTCCAGTGTGTTAAAATTAAAACAACAAACAAATAAACAATATATTATAAAATAGTTACCACAAATCAATCTTATGCATTTTGCAAAAAATGTTATGACATTCTAAATAATTGATATGAAAAGCAAATTAAAACACTTCAAACAACACTTACCTAGAGCCTGGGCTTCCACGTGTAAGCACAGTTTTAATAGCAGATGCGAGGCCAGTATCAAGGCTGTCCACACACCCATTTTGTCCTTCCAACTGGTCCCAGATCAGCAGATTCTCTGCAGTGATTACCTGTATGTGACACAATGGCAGTTCCCCGTATGTCTGCGTCTGCTGTGAGTGGTGTGTTTGTGTCCTTGCCTCTTTTTTTGAATCACAAGTGAGGCAAGACCGTCATGTTAAGCCTAATAGAGGCTGCTGGCAGTTTGTGTGTGTGTGTGTATGTGTGTGTATGTGTGTGTGTGTGTGTGTGTGTGTGTGTCTGAATTAGTGTGTGAATGTGAAACGAAGATTGCAGGAGTTTTAGTGAGGGAGGAGCATCAGAGCCTGAACCTGCCTTTAAAACCTTCCTCAGACGGCCCCATGCAGAGAAGGAGTGACCTGGGGAGACTCTATTGCATTGGCTCCCACTAGCTGCTACCAATTCCCACAGGCTCTTACACAAATGTACTGTACATGAGCGGCTTCTAATCCCACTCTGGGAACCCACTTTTGGCTGCTGAAATCATGTTTCAACCCAAACTTATATTTTTAGACTCCTGAGTTCAGGCTTGGGGTGTATTTCTGAAAATGTGTTTCCCACCTCCAGCAATCAGACCTCTAGTATTTTTTTCACACTCTGTCTGAACACACAGGAAAATTCTTTCACTTTCCTTCCAGGCATCAGATGTGACACCTTTCCCATATGCCCTTGCTTTCCTCCCTCCTTCCCCGGGCAAAGTCAGGAAATGAGCCCACGCCTTAACAAGCCGTGTTAACCGGCCAGCAGAGCTTCAGACAGGCTGCTGGCTCACACGGCCTCCAGGTCGTCAGCATGTCTGGCACCACACGACTTGCCACATTTGGCAGAGATGAGGTCGCTCAGGTCTTAATGATGTTTGTTTTTCCCTCTTTCTTTCCCTGTTGCATCTTATTTTTTCAACCAAGCGAGTCTTATTCTGCGGATGAGTAACTACCGTTGAGCTCAAAAAAAGTACTGAATCTGTAATAATGTTTGAATCCATCAGTAATTCCATGAAAGCCAAGTCTCAGTGGCAACAAGATGATGCTCCCACTTCGGGTAAAAGGATAAACACAAGTATCTATAGCAACAAACAGCAGCGAATGAGTCATAGTTTCCCTACATCCCACAGGTGTTCATTGTGGTTAGTCTGTATACCGCTGCTCTCGTCTTTTGTTGTGCACTGATATGGACCCCATCCAGTCAGCAACAGGACACCCAGAGTTTTATCTGCCTTCTGATTGGCTTTCAGACTGATCCTTTACAGGCGTTTTGGGTTCTGGATCACAAAAAGCCCCACAGACCTCCATGCATGGTCGGCAGCTGCAGCAAAGAGCTCAGTAGACCACATCAGCCTGCTGGAGGACCTGGGCTGAGTCACATCATGGTGCGGTTGATGAGGTCAGACAGTGAACGTTGCATCTGGCTCAGAGATAAAACCAAACCCCAAATGTGTCTGACACCATCTCCTGACTATTTTTATTCATGATAGTGATATGACCACATCCCAAGACTCTGATATTCATGCTCATAAGTCTTCGTATGGTGAGCTGGTAGCTAGACATCAAAAAGATTATAGCCTTGCTGGTGCCACAATGACAACAAAATACACAGCTGACCTGAAAAAGTGGCTTTATGCTGCATAAAAAGGCAGTGAGGTCTGTTTGTGTTCTCAGGGGAGGTCTGACAATTAGCGTTTTTCAAAAGCTTTGGACCGAAAAAGAAAACAAGACATACAGGTCAGCAACAGGAATGATTAAAGGTACATAATAGGAAGCATGTGGAGCATTAAGAGAAAAACAAAGGAAGATATTTTACTGTAATCCAAGGAAGAAAAAAAGGGGAAAAACGCAAGACATACAAATTTTATTAATGTTGTTTATTCTCATCAAATCCACCCACAGAGGAAATTCATTTTTATTTATATATTTTGCTTTTCTTTGACTAAACTCAACATTTGACATTGATTATAAATATGTTTTTTACATCATTTATTATTCTTCTTGTGGCAGATTGCATTTATCGAGCTCTTTGGATTTCTTTGTCAGTGGTTGTGCTGTGCAGAAATGTTTGTGTAATTTACTTAAGGACTACATATAATAGTATTACTCACTGTCAGTATGAAATATTGTGACTTTTCTTACTTATGCTTATTCTATACTATTTTAGTCTCATAACTATACCACACAAATGGTACACATGAATCCATCTTCATTCTCATAGATGTGATGTTTTCTGGCATAACTGAAAAAGATTTCCTGATGATACAGGAAAACTTTTTATGTGAAAGAAATTACAGTGTTAGAGTAATAAAGAAAATAATCATTAAACTCACCACATAAAGGTTCCTCCTTACAAGAGGTTCTTTCATAAAGCGACTTACTTCAGTACCCTTATGTTGAAGGAATGGACACAGACTTTTACAACACGGCAAACCACAGCTGGAGGTGATCATAAGTCTCTTTGCTCCTGTGCTGAGTGCTTAAGTGCTCATTACGCTGTGGGATGCAATGTCTTACAAGCTCTGCACTGTCTTACCTGATGAAGTTACGTAACAGCAGCCAGTCAGCAAGTCAGAGGGGTCTGATCCAACAGCTCATTAAATCTGCAGCATCTATCACCTCACCCCAGACTGGTAGAGGGAACTCACTCCAAACCCGAAATTACAGCATTAAATTGCCTGAATTTCTGGTATTAGACAGACTGTAACTCTGAACCCAAGGCAGAGGCTTAATAAATGGACCCACATCCTGCAGAATATTTAGACTGCAAACTCTTGAGCCAAATTGGTATGTCATGGTGGATAAAGCTGTCGACTTTCCTGGAATCGTCTAACACAGCACAGAGGGCATGAATACAAATTATACATTAAATGTTATAGATCCAAAATTAATCAGAAAATTTATTCAGAGCTAATATGGAACGGAAAGTTTTTTTAGAAATGAATCACTGCTCATTTATTCCTTGGCCTTCAGATATTCAAACCAAAGCTGATGCAAACATATTTATTTGACCTGAATGTGGGTTTAAACTATTAGTCTGGGTTGTGCATTTAAAAAAAACAAAAACAGGATTTTTCTAATCCTTAGAAACCAACTTTGGAAAATTACAGGAAACGTATAAAACCATTGCTATATTTTTTCCAATTCCATTTACCTGCCCGAATCGCCTACTTCGTATCTTTCTGTAAAATCACTCAAAATTGTCTCAGTTGTGGACATAGTAACATAAACCTGAACGCCCTTCTTGGAAAAACATGGCTATTATGTGAGAAGATTGATGATAGGTGCATAAAGGTTTTCTCAGAATGGCCTCAGTGTGATGGGATAACGTATCGTTTCTAAAACAACAATGTGGTTTCAGTGTCTCACCAAATTTCTTGGTATTATGCAAGGGTATACGTAATGATGGCCCCCGCAAAGTTGTCGGTAGAAGCTGCGGCTGATGGTTTTGCCATGTGTGAACTGTGAGTTCATTCTCAGACCATCTCAAACTAGCCAGCTGCTCCTTCAGTCACTCACCCCAGCTGCATGCGTTCACACTCTCTCCATTTCAATGCATGTCTCACCCACACCTACACACCTCATACTGTAGATGGAGACTGCTGTAAATCATCACTGCAGATACTTGACACCAAGTTGGTCATGCAGCTCTGTAAATCTCTCTCTCTCTCTCTGTCTCTCTCTCTCTGATTTTCACACTAACACCCCCCAGTGCAACCTTTCCCATTTTCTGACCTTTCCCTCTTTCCCCTAAGTTTTTTTAGCCACACTAGCAGCGCAGCTCTAGAAAGAGCAATTTCAAGTCACCACATTGGTCCAGATTGAAATATCTGAACAACTATTGGATGGACTGCCATGACATTTTAGGTCTGTATGAATACTAATAACTTCAGTGATGCCCTGACCACTCTAGCGCCACCATGAGGTTTTGTGTTAAAGTTCTCGATAACTATCAGATGGATTTTAAATTTGGTTTCAGATATTCATGGTCCTCTCAGAGTGAATTCGGGGATCGCTTAACCCCTCATGTAGTGCTGCCAATCATGTCAAAATACCACCTAAATGACCTGCAAAACTAATTTCCCATCAGCCTCAGCTGTACTTTGGGTTTGGTGCTAATTAGCAACATGTTAGTTTGTTAAAATGCTAAATTAAGACGGTGAACATGGCAAACGTTACCTGCTAAACATCAGAAATGTTAGCATTGTCATTGTGTCGTGTTAGCAACACTGACGTTAGCATTTAGCTCACGATGTGTTCAACTGTAGCCTTAAAGAGCCGCTAGCTTGGCTTTGGAGACCTGTTTAGTACAACGTCTTTTTCTGACCACCTGTGGTCATAGGTGTGGGTGGGACGTGGGGGTTGAAAAAGGGGATAATGCTTGAGTTGTTCACTAATAATAAACAAATTCATGTTAGCCTACATTACTGCTTCTGGGAAGGGAAACAGTAAGATTACAACTTGTCAAATAGTTTATTTCTTGCATAAACTTTTCTCACATTCACATTTTCAGAAAATGTGTAGAGGAAATAAACAGGGCTTGAGTGAGGTCTTCAGAGAGGTGTGTGTGTGTGTGTGTGGGGGTGGGGGGTGGGGGGGTTGAAGCTATTAGACCATCCGACAAGCTTTAACCTCCTCTCCTCTTCATTTATTATAAACCCACACCCCCTCATCTAAAATGTGAAAAATAAATCCTCACTCTTGTGCAAAACATGTTCATGAAGGATTCTTCGAAGCAAAACGTGATCAGACTATTGCTTCAGGATGTGAGGACAAAACACACCTACACAATAGCGAGCAGCTTGAACAGTGCTGCATTGTGCTCCATTGAGTCTTATTCCAGGTGCTCTCATTAATCCCTCATACTTCTGGCGCATTGAGACCGAGCATGTCTGGTCTAGATAGGTCCACTGAACAGTGGGAAACAGCTCTTATGTGTGTGAAAGCACACTGGGTCATTTGTTCAGACACATCACAGCTCGCAACCACGTCTGTGCCATACTCAGCTAGCGTGATCGATTATACTACGAAGAAGAAAGGGAAGTGTACACCAGAAGAAGAGAGGGAAGGCAGCACGTGGAAGCAATTATTGCCCCTGTCTGGTGTGTAATCTAACACAGCAGATACAAGATGACGTGCACGTGTTTGGGTACATGACAAGAAAAAGAAGAAGAAGAAAAAACCCCTCACCATTCTTGTACACACAGGAACTTCTTCCGCTCTCCCAGTCTCACCTCCATACCTTGTCGGAGATGAGGCTGATTAGTCAAATTGCTGCTGCGTTCTCAGGAGTGACAGAGACTATGAAAAATGCAAGAACCTCTGCCTGAAAATGTTTCCGGCAGGGCATTCGTCGCGCATACTGAACGTCAAATCTGAAGAGACACAGTGATCTCCCCCTACAAACATAAATTCTGTATTTATTGAAGCAAATATAAAATACTGGTGATCAAGCCAATGCATAAAGCCCACAGAATGTGAACCAAAAAACTTTTTCACTCTTGTGTAGGAGTGTGGTTTGGTAAGCTGTACACGATTTTGCGTATAATTTTTTGAGTGGGTGTATGTGGAATCATAACCTACTATTCCTTTTAATAAGTGGTTCATGAAGGGGAAGTGGGCCACATGTGGTAAAGTGAAGTTACTTGAGATGGAGGCTGAAATTAGTGACCTTGTTTGAAATGTTGAGGCGCAGACGCCATGCCAGTTTGACTGAATTCCTTTGTTACATCCAAACTCTTTGAAACTGGACTCTCTATTTCCTGTCTAGCACTGTAGGAGCGGGAAGATAATGCATTTCCCAGGGAGACAGATGTCCGATCTCTAAAGTTCAGTCCAGGAAATGAACAGATTTCTTCCACATTCTGTCTCGGCCTCAGTCTTTTCTGCCTCCAACAGTTACAAGGGACGAGGCATGAGGATAGGATTTATATTTTCTTTCGTAACACCAAATGCTCCGACTCATGCTTATCACCCTACTCCACATGTATCTGAAAGGTCTGTGGAAAATCACACATGGCATTTAAGGCTGTTCACTGTAGTAATTGCCCCTGTTTCAGGGAGGATATTACAGGGTCGACAGATCTTCACACAGTCCCCTGCTATGAAGAATTAACTAAGGTTCACAGCAGCAGGGGATAAAACTGTGCGAGAGCATGGTGATTTACAACAGCCTGTCCCACCTGTGACTGTCTGTTTGCCCCAAGCTGTGGATAAATGACTGGGGCAAGTTGAATCAGGGATAATCCACAGCCAAAATTCATGGCTTATAGGATCATTCTTGTCTATTAAAACTGACATCTGGTAACGCTGAGATCACCAAAACAATTGTTGACAACTGGGAACACAGTGATGATGCAAGAATGTCATCTGACCAGGCAAGAAGCAAACTATTGGACAAGTTGTAATCTTATGTTTTTCCTTCCAAGAAGCACTAACGTAGGCTAACATTACTGGTCGAGAAATTAAGTTACTGAAATGTATTTATTGATTATTAGTGAACATGTCAAGCAGCTTTTGAAGAAGAGACATTTTGAGTGGAGGGGGACAATCAGGAGGTGGTTGCAGGTTGTTGAATAAGACTGCATTAACTCTTTAATTAGCTCATTTATCCATTCATTTGTCTTTCACATTATTGTTTAGTGCTAGCTGAAGTAAATCGTTGAGTTTGTCAAAGTTTTTGTTTTAAAAGAGTTACATTTTTTTTGTTTGTTTTTTTTTTTGTCGTGAAAAATTTCAGTGAATATTTTTTGTTGTAGTTTTTGTGGACGAAATGAAAATTGATCTAACAAACTTAACCGAGATGTAAAAACAAAAGTGAACACACCTACAGTGTCAATAATAATCTCAACTGCGTAACTGCAGTGGTTCAAAGCTGAACCAAGAAGATGATCTGTAAACCACAATGGATGTTTAAACTGGACATTTTGATTGATTATTTATTTTGTTCGTTTTTGTTTTCTCTTCTAAATTTTGGTGAGGACAATATTACTATTGCCAAAAATTGGCCAAAAGTTCAACAAGAAGACAGAAGCTGATACATCCAAAATCAATCAACCATTTCAATTAAACTTTAATTGCAACATTGCAAAACATAAATGGATTAATGTCAGTCAAGGATTGTGGACGGATATTTCCTAAGCACGTGTAATTGTTTCATCTATTGACAACGTGAAGCCAAAACATGTACCAGCAGTAGTTTGCATGTGTGCTTGTGGGTGTGTTTCATGTGGACATCTGTGAATGGAAACCTTTTGTGCTCTGCCAAGGCAGGCTTGTTGTTGCATCGTCAGCTTGGTGTGTTTAGAAGTAGCTTAACAAGCTCAGCAGGACCTCTTACATCAAACACTCCGCTAATGGCTGATAAACTCATTGGGCTTGGTCAAGCTGGACAACAAATGGGCACGTTTATGTCCAAAGCAGCAGAGCGAAAACCTCAGCGTGCTTCTCCGGCTTCTCCCCCGTTCAGAATCCAGGCCAGCTATTTTCATGAGATGTTAAGAGGAAACGGGTTTCTGGTTTATGGGAAAGCAATAAAACGTCAAATCCTTGACTGGTGAAGGAAGCAGCTTGTTAAAAAAAGAGGAGAAAAGGAAGACTTATGTGAGGTAAGGAATGACAAAGACAGATGGAAAGAGACAGGCTGCTGTGATGTCATAAGATTTCTGCAAGAGCTCAGTTAGACAACAGGGAGAGTCATCACTGGTGGAGACAGGGTATAAAAAACACCAGTGAAATATACACCAAAGACTTTATCAGGACAAATCAACAGGGTGATTTACCTCATAAGGAAAAAGGCATAAATTTTAAACAGATGCTGTGGTTCATTTGCAGGTTGTTAACACAGTAGGTTGTAAAAATCTTTCCATTTTGTTTTCTTTGATTACCTACAAACAATCTCCAGACAACCATAGCCCAAAACTGACAATATATATAGTCCACATCCGATATAAATTCCTGGCCCAAGCTTACTTCAGCAAATCTTTGTGCTTCGCTAGCTGAAAATGCTTCACTTTCTGTGTATTTATTAAACGAGATGAACATGTGTACGACAAACTGCCAGGATGAGAGTGGAAGAGAAGAATAAAAGACCCAAGAGGCACATTAAGGTTTTGAGGAGTGAAGTTTAATGGGATCATGATTGTCTTTGTCGGAGGTCAAATATTTAATTGGTTTACGGGACAAAAAGCACAACCAGAGCCACTCCTACATTCACTCAGCCAACTAAAACTCTCTACATTAGATAAACCATCAGGGCAGAAAACCTCCAAGAACCACTCTCAGCAGCTCAGTCTTACAGAGGGTCATTACTTTTGACAAATGACAGACATTTTGCTCTTTCAAAGGTTGGGAGAAAGGCTACCACATATTATCTTTCTCATTTTGTCTGCACACACTGTTCCCAGCTAACCGTTTTCATCTCCTCCTATCAAAGGGATTTATTGTTCTAGCTGGGTAAAACTCTCCTTCTCTCTTTTCTCTTGTATCTGGGCAATCTCTCCTCTCTGATTATGCTTTAGCTGGTTGAGATCAGTGTTACTCTCCGGGAAAGTAAAAGTGACCTCAGTCTGACTCATTGGTGGGCATCCATCCGCTCCTCGGGCCCTACGACATGCACAGACTGACAGAGAGGCCGACACAAAGACAGACTGCTGCTGGGTAGACAGACGTACAGATGAACAGAGACAGAGGTACAGACAGGCAGGGTCCTATGGTTGCCCCATGACGAAGAAGGAAGGAGGCAAATTAGTGCGGTACAGAGGGCAGACTGTGACCTTACTGGCCAGACTGTTAGCGAAGGGGGGTCAATGGCCTACAGCTGACGTCACAGCGTGCTAGTTGTGGAAGCAGCCAATCGCTTTCCTATGTAGATCCTAAAAAGAGAAAAGAGAAAGTGGTAATTATTAGCTAAACCTCTCCCTCAAACAATGATTGTTCAATAGTAACCCTAACTATGCACAGCAGGACTATCAAGAGTTTGGAGGATGGTGTCTTTTGTTTAGCCTTTGCAAAACCAAAAACAAAAAGAGCAAAAGTAAAAAGAAAATTGATTAAACAGAGTGGTTATCTGCTCTAACGTAAGCTGTATTCTTAGCACCCAGCTAACTAACTTACTGCCTAGTAACTGATGTAAATGTATTATAAGAACTGAATCTGGCGCAGTCACTCTGCCTTTGCTGGTTTTGTCTCCCAGTGACCACTTGCGGTATTGCAACAAATAAATCCCCTGCAACCCAAAAGGCATTTCCCCCATAGACCACCATTATATAGATGTCTGTAAAACTGTTAATGAGACACTTAGAAAAGCAAACAAGTTTGGTTATTAGTCTTTTTATTCTAAATATTTAATCCAAGGCAAGTTTTTATTTGTAAAACATTCTCGGAGCACAGAAAAGTTACTTTCATTATTCCAATGTAAAGCCTATGGGCTGAGCAGGAATGTGCGGCCAGCAGGGGAAACACTAATGTGCGTGTTCAGTGGGTCGTACAATATTGAAGCAAATCCAGAAGCTACAAATCTTTTTGGATTATGTGCCAGGCAAACAATTTTCTTTCAAGTGACTTGGCGCCATCATTGAGTCCACTGTGCAGTTCCTATAATACATCCATGGTAACTATCGCTATCGGAAAGTGACGTGATGGACCGGGGCTAGCTGGTTAGCATGCTAACTCCAGTAGAAGAAAAGATGTGATAGAGACAAGAATTAACATTGGCGTTGCTTTCCGAGCTAAGGAATGACGTTTGATGCGAACGATTCTTCTAGACTGGTAAGTAAACAGCTAATGCTAATGCTAGATATTTAGCAATGGCAAAGTTTACAAATAGGTCCTTTAAAGGTACAAGCACACTTTTTGAAAACACAAATGTAAGCTACTCATTTGTTATTATTGGACTACCTATTTCTACGGTATACTGCAGTACAAGAACAATACTCTGTTTCTTTATTTACATGTCTTCAACATGGGCGAAATTGCTTGAAACAATTTTAGCCTCCATTTTTTTATGTACGATAACATGTATGTAGCCATCAAGTGCATATTTACCACCCCTTTTACAAGATTCACGTTTTATATTGAGCAGTGCTATAATGTTTTTGCTACAGGTTTTAATTAACATGACATGGCAAAAAGTGAGTCTGTGTATGTGCATGTGTGTCTCACCCGACTCCAAGTGTGAGCAGGTGTGAAGCCAGCAGCGAGGGAACAAGGATGAGCAGAACATCGGAGGAGAAGATTCCTCTCTTCATCACCTCTGTCTTCCTAACACTGAGGGAGCCCGGCTGCTTCGGGTGCTGAAACACAAACTCTCTGCAGAGGAGAGAAAGGAGAGAGGACGAGGAGGAGCCAGAGATAAGAGATGCAGGGAGAGGTAAGATAGGAAGGAAAAAGAATAAACAGAAATAATGAGAACACAAGAGAGAAGACTGGGAATGCAAGACAGGTGGTGAAGTACTGAGAGTCTGAGACCATTAAGAACTGCTACCTGTCAAACAGACGTATTGTTCATGTGGCAAAAAATATATAAAAATGAGGGTGATTCATGTGTTTCTCAACAGAACCAGCCCCCCCCACCCCCCACCCCCCCTGTTTTCAGTCTATATGTTAAGCTAAGCTAATTGCCTCTGGCTCCACAGTATGAGTGTCATAGTGATCCTCTCCTCTAAGTCTTGGCAAAAAAGTACTGTTCTTTTAAAACCCCTACACATCTTCGCAAGTACTGACAAGTACTTTACCAACTTTGGGATGTAGTATGACATCACAGCAAACATAAATACATAAAAAAATAAATGCAATTAATGACTTTAAAAGAGATTATCTTACTTTGGTGGCATATTTTCTGGTCTACTGGACCAATCCCACACCCAGTCCGTGTCCACTCGCCGCTCACCTTCCTCCTGCAACATACATGACGGATCAGATGATGTCCAACAGCAGAAAAAGAAGAGTAGACACAGGGAAAATAATAAAATATAAAAATGAGACTGTGACATTAACCTGAGCACACGTACATCATTGCTGATGCTGATATTCACTTCCATCTTGAGTTTAAACATATGTCTTGTAAAAATTTGGGGGAAATCTCAAACTACATACCATTAGTAGAAGCAACTCCACAAAGAAAAAAAAAAACCCAAACTTTCTTGGCATCTCCCCTGGGTGTAAGGCACCCTTGAATGCATTGCCAATGAGTTTTTAAAATTCTAATGAATAAATAACTTACTGGATAAATTCAAATAAATGTTCCATGAAATTGATGACTGATCTCAAGCAAGTCTCATGTCTCTGTGAGTTGATTTTTAAACTGTACTGAAACGATGGAAATAATTGGCTGGCTGGAAAGCAGGAAATCTTTATAAAAACATCTAGTATTAATGTAAAATGCAGCGCAGTGTAAGTAAATGTTATTTGTAGATTACAATAAGGAGGATGAAGTTAGAATGAACTGAATATTTTTGACATATGTCAGACTATGTCAGTGTTGAATACCTGTATGGTGACACAGTCACTGTCCTGATCACTAGTTGGTCTTGGGGAACCAGTGGACTGTGGAGTCACCACCTGCGGAGGACTGTGGACAACAAACAGACTTTTACATATGGATTTAGTATAAAGAAATAGACAGACTGCAATTTATTGCAGTATTTCTATTAAAACAAAATAAAATTGAGAAAGCAAACACACGTTGAGAAAAGCTAGCAAAGTTCCACTGAGCACAGAATGAAACTCATTACTTAAAAAATGAATTAAACACCTCACTGTGCCGTTCAACCCCCCAACAAAACAAAAGGATCCACAAAGACTATCTGCATCATTACCTGTCTCTACTCCTCTCACACTCAAGCTGCGCCTCCAGAAGGATCCTCTCCAGCTCCCCCTGCAGGGCGGAGGAGATGCTGTCCTGTGGCCCTGTCAGACTCTCCCTGCGGCTCACGGCTGCAATCAGCTCCTCCAGCTCGACCCAGGAGCCTGATGAGGAAACAACACGAGCAGCAGAGTTTGTAATGATGCACAGGCAGTCAGCAAGGAAGCAGAAAGCAGTGGGGGCCTCATGCACATATATTAGACTGTAATGAGCCAGGAACAAGTCGTGTTGAGGAAAGTAAACAAATCTTTAGTTTTAAAACTGAGTGTTTACACTGAGTCACTTTTATTGAGTGTGTAAGACTTTTTGTTGTAATTTTCTACTACTGCACACTATTCTGAGAGTAGATCTGTCACTGGGAATCAAATAATGACAAGATGTTAGTGATTATCCTCAATTAAAATCTGAAGAATTGTGTTGTCAAGATATGATGAAACTATTAGTATTTTACAAATTGCAGGCAGATTGTAGTTAAATTTAATGAACAGTGGAAGACTGAGAATAATTTTTGAATATATTAAAATAATGAATTAACCTGCCTGACATTTTCTCAGAATGTTTCAATTTTAGTTTATATTTTCCAAATGATTGTTTGTTTGTTTTTGTCATACCAACTCATTGGATTTTTTTGTTTTTAGAGACTGACTATTACAGCTTTTGTTTCTGACAGATAACCCATCCTAATCCCATTCTGAGGCTTAAAATGATGCATGTACTTTATTTCACTCATGCAGCACTTAATGTTTTTGTCAGAGTGCTTGTTTTCAGCCATATCACAGAGCCCTGTAAGAGATGTGTGACAATTGAAGCCCATTTGCTTCCTTTAAAATGCTATAGCTTAGGTGTGGACAGGTGTGTGTTGTGCTCTGACATATGGTGAGTTATAGGCTAAGCAGCACCACGGATGTCCTGTGACATGACCTGAGAGATGTTGAGTTCAGGATGGACAGTGCTGTGTTACACTTATGTTTGAAAACACACGTATGAAGAATATAATATAACACATCTATCAATGACAATGAAAACGCACACAACATATGAATGAATGGACATATGAATGGAGGTTCATTGGGTATGTGAGCAGGAAGAGATTCACACATGCACACACATATATATATATATACACACACACACACACACACACACACACACACACATATGCATGCTGGTGTGTTTGGCGTGCCCACACCCACAGCCAAACAGTAGGGCAGGGCTAACTCAGGCTGACAGCATGCTTGCTTACGTAAGATCTTATTTCTGTTAGAGATTAGCCATTCACCCTCTCCCTTCCTCCCCTTGTTTCTCTCTTGTCATGCTGTCTGTATCCCTCTCTGACTTTGGCAGCATTTACAAAACATCAACACCTCATCTGCCCACCAAAGTATCCTTCCTTCTCATCTGGTCCCTCTTAATCTTCGCTTTACCCGGGTTTATGACACTGTGTAATCACACCAACAGCAGCACAGGAGGGAGAAACATTAAGTGAGGGAGGGGGCGGGCGGAGGGGACAGAGCGGGGAAACTGTGCCATTGCCCTAGTTGTTTGTCTACAGAGGGGAGTTATGACATAACAGCTGCCTTGCTGCCTGACTTATCTATCTGTCGCCATTCTGCAGCACTAAATCAGTTTCTATGGTGCAATCCTGTACACATTCATCTGTGCCACTGCCAAATCAGCTTTATGTAATGTGGACAAGAGCTGGATGTTAAAAGACTCAATGGACTGCAGCACAACAGATTAATGTTTGTTGTGAATGCCTGTTTTCAGGTTAGGGACTGCACACAAATGATCAGGGTGTGGAGGTTATTTTTACTTTTTGCTTAATAGAGGGATGTCTGCACCACTGGAGGGTCTTTGGGTTTTATGTCGCCTCACATTTACTTTTTGCTTCCATGTTTTTTTTGCAAAATTTACTGAAAAAGCCTAAATAATGACATCAAAATAGAAACACCTTTTGTGTGCACCGTGGACCATAAAGGTGATTTTTTTTTCTGCTGCTAGCTAGTTAATGATTAGATTCTGCATCATAAAAGAGAGACAGTAAAGTTAAATGTATCATATCTAGTTATGATATAATGCATGTTAAGCACAAACCAACATAATAACACACAAAATATTACTGTGCCTTGTTCACTTATTCAGTGACCAGTTTTTATACATATTTTCATTTTGGGCTTTTAAAAGCCAGAGTAGAAGTGCTGGAAAGATTATGTATCAACAAAAACAAAATGCGACTAAGTGCACTAGAAAAAAACGTGATCATAACAAATTATTTGCATTTTCTTTTGCCAGTTCTTCTGGAAATTTTGATTCAGATTTGCACAACATTTGGATGGAAACTTGACTGGTGGTAATAACTTCATTTAGAGGCCCTTAGTTTAAAAAGAGAGAGCAGCTGGAATGCTTAGTAAACAGGATACACATTTGTTATGTGTTTGGTAATTGCTAAGTAATTTTCAATGTAGGTAGAAATGGTCAATTAACATATTAAACTTGAAATCAGAGTTGAGCTATTAGGGTGAAGGGTGTTACAATATCAACTATCAATATCAGTATTGGCCCATAAATCCAGTATTGGTCATGCTACAGTCGACAACCTTGTGTTGTTAAGCCAAAATTAAAGTCCAAACACTTCCCCACCTGAATAACTTTCCTACAGTCCCTTAGTGTCCTGCTCACCATTACATTGTTCCACATGTTTCACCCAGCATCCTATGTGCCAAGCAATGTGCACACAGCACAGTGGAGCTATAAGCGTCAGGAAATCTCCACAGCTTAATTGGCTTACAGAGATACAAACAGGTGAGTCAGGGAATCCGTTTACACAATGACAGTGTCAGTGGCAACAACAATGACAACTACCAAACTGCCTTCTTCTCTGTGTGGCATCCTCTCACACCTGCTCTCAGCCTGACACGCTGTTGTAATCATGTCTCCGCTGATGGGCAGTTGAATATCTGCACATCAGTCCTGGAAACACTGAGCGACTGAATGAATGAATGAATGAATGAATGAATGGGGTACCTGCTTTACATTGTCTGCCCACATTGTTGACATTTGCATTGTGAATGTAAATCGATCTGTGCACACACAAAGCAGCTTTAATCATCATCTCTAGTGGCTGTTTGATAGCTACATGTGAGCAAGTAATCTTATGCGTCGTGGCTTTAAAAGCAATTAAATAAATAAACAACAAAACAACGGCCTGGTCCATCTACCACCATCACTCACCGTAGAGTCCGTCCTCAGGCGTCTGCGAGCCGGACACAGACATGTCTGATCACCGGGGGGCTGGAGGGAGAGCGAGAGAGAGAGAGAGAAAGAGAGCACGGAGAGATGCTGACACTGACCGAGGAGGACAAGCAGGTGCAAATGCGTTTCTGTCCCGTACGCTTTTCTCTCAATCACTGTTGTGTTTGTTGTAGTCTAAAAGGGACACCAGGCAGGGACGCTGCGTTAATCCGCCTGCCCTCCCCTCTCCTTCCATTCCCTCCCTCCTCCCACCTCCTCCCTCTCCCACGTGTCAGGAGGGAAGAGGTAAACAAAACAAGCTGAGAGCTCAGCAGGTAAGAAGCCACGCCGAAAGAACAAGGTGCATGAAGCAGCAGTAGGTGTGTGCAAACTTCCTCTAAACCTCCATTTTTTGATGTAAAGTTAACATGACCAAGCATTCATTTCTGATCGGCTAAAAGTTATTCATAGGAGGTTATGTAAGAAACTAATACTAATACCCTAATACAGTCTAATAATATAAATTTTACAAGAAACTACACACACTCAAAATGTTCTCCCAGCTCACTGTTAATGTTACATCATCCATCGGAAGCTGGAGAGTTGTAGTAAGGTTATGTAAAGATTGGGTGCCACTTTCTAATATGGCACATTTTCTAATGTGTATAAGTTGTGACTAGTGGCTTTATTGATGGTAAATGTATTGCTGTATTATAGGTAGATCAGTTATAAATCATTATTTAGACCAGCCAGAAGGAAACTGAACTCCCTACTGGCTGGTGTTTTTCCTTTCTATTTAATGCACTTATAAATATTAGCTTTTAGCAGGGCTGTTTTTTCGCTGCCAGCAAACATGGTTTCTTGCCAGGAGCGTGTGGTGGTGATTGTTGCTTGACAAGAGCTTCGGCCATCAGTGTGTTTACAAGACAAGAGGTTATAATACACCCTCTGAGCAGTGTTAGGTCGTCAAGGCAGATTAGAGGCTGCAGTGAGTCGCTATCGGAAAGCGATGAGACAGGCCGGGGCTAGCTGGTTGGCGTGCTAACTTCAGAAGAGGAAAAGACGTGATAGAGACAAGAGTTAACACGTTCCTTTTCACTTCTGGAGACAGCTCTCGGTGAGTAATTGAAAGTTTGATGCTGAAATTGCAACGTTTCCTCTAGACTGGTAAGTAAAAAGCTGTTAATGCTAATGTTTGCTGTGTAGCAATAGCAAAACTAACAGATGGGCTCCTTTAATAAATGTTTGTGAGTTTCATACTTTCTGATAAGCCATGAAGAGTGTAAACGTTAATAAGTTGTTAATTCATTAGGTTTTTCCATAGAGGTTCATCAGACTGTCTATCTAAAAAGTTAAATCAAGTGTCCTGCTGGAAGAAGATTAAACACCGGACAAAACCCTTTGAACAACAAATTCCCAGAGGGTATGACCTCACTTTCCTCAATAACAACTACAGTCATCAACATATGCGACAGATTAGGCTGCTTAAATACAGAATTTTTGTCTTGTCTAGTTTCTGATCATATTTCACAAACAACCACTAATTTTGCAGCAGAAAACTTTTATTATATTCTCAAATGAAATGCCTCCACACTCCCAAAATAAATAAATAAACAAGTTACTTAGTTCTCATTTATGGTCACATTGTACTGTTTGTGAACAGAGTCTTAATGAATATCAAACAAAAGCTTGTTTAACGTGACTTAATTGTAAGTGTATGCTGTGAAAGTAGAGAACCACTCACCTCCCTGTGACGCAGAATAAATAGCTGCTGTATGAGCACAACGCTATTTTTTTAAGGTCACATTGAGATTTTTTTAATCTTTAATAAAGGGTCAATTAATAAATATAGTAATTTACCTAAAATAACATAAGGAAAGACCAAAGGTTTAGCGCCCTGACAGCCTCCAAAGGCTTCAGTGTTAATAACAACATTAAAAAAACATGATAATTTTGTTAATCTTCTTTCATCCTACACACATCCTCAGTATGCTGATTAAATTTCACAGCAATTAGATTTAGATTTTTCTTCTGTTTCACTAGAAATACTGAACTGGTTGAACTACAGGAAAGATGGGACTAATGGAGATCCACAGCTAATATCTATGGAAACCAGTTTGTTTGTTTGTTTGTTTGTTTGTTTGTTATTTTAACTTGTCATGGTCCAAATTGTTCAGGGGTAAGTTTAACCTTATAGTGTTATTACAGTAAAGATCAGGTTGTCAGACAAAAAACAATATATATAAAAATAAGAAATCAACTCAGGCAATAAATGACCACACACATCTAGACCAGTGCAGGAAGGATAGACCAGCCAACCAGCCAAACAATGTCACCATCCTCAGGCCCAAACAACACGCATAGGTATCTTCTGTTGTCTGTAGCAGCATATGACACCATAATATACATGTGCTGCTACAAATGAAGGTACAATGTTTCCTCTGTCATGAAAACGATGGATTTACAGAAAGCTTATGTGCCTGTGCTGTAGGAGCTTAGGAGTTATATATGTATATCATGCCATGTCTTAAGAAATATCATGTAATCTAAAAGGATATATTGTGATGTCTGCATGTTACGATTTGTTACTTCCTCATGGCAAAATTAAATATTGTTTTGCTTGGTGGAATAAGATTAAGAATGACTCTCTTGGTTCTGGGAACAAGCCTTCCAAATTCCCCCTGAGCTCCCTATTTATATGGATATAATTTTACTGTAGAGCAGTACACATCATTTATTTATCAGATCCATGGATGGATTATGAGACAATGGCACAGATATGTAAAAGGCCCCTCCTTTCTTCCCACACAGGCAGCTATTGCAGCGGTTTTACATCAGTTGCAGCAACATTTCACAGGTTAACGATAGCTCTAAAGTGCTGCTGTTGTTTGAAAACTACACTTGAACTTCAGCATTTTGTTACAGTAAAGATGAAAAGGGAAAGGCTGTCCAAAGACTCCTGCCGTAGCAAATCCACACTGACTCATTTCCACAAATTAGGAGATCAGGTCAGAATCAATCACTTTATTTAATGTCATGCTCTATCTATTCTTTCTTTGCATTAAAGTCAGTGAATATGCAATGACAACATTTTATCCATTTGTTTAACCAAAGTGTGTTTACTGTATTTACATTTAATGCTATTTTGAATGTTATATAAGAACATCAATACCACTATCATGCCTGTCCATTTAATATGAAGCTAGCAAGCATAGCTTAGCATAAAGTCTGGAAGCAGGGGGAAACAGCTATCTCTGTCCAGCTACCGGGACATCCTCACGTAGCTTCATATTTAGTGTACAGACATGGAAGTAGTATCAATCTTCTTCCCAAAAGTCACCCTGGCATCAAGGTTTTTGCACTTCATATTTTGAATATTTAACTCTTACCTGCTTAGAGAAATTAAAATTAAATTAATCATACAAAATAAAGATCTCTGGCAGGGATGGAGGTTTCTAGTGAGCTGCTCTTTGGACATGCAGCTGCTCTGGAGCCAAATTATTTAACATTCATTTGTCATATTAGTAAAATTCATATTTACTATGATAAAATTGCAGCTTTATATTATAATTAGGCAAGGCTAGGGTTATTGCCAAACTCTAGAAGATATCAGGAAAAAAGCTGTCCCTTTTTAATCTTTGGCAAGCTGTATATAGGCTGTAGAATACCCTTTGATGTGTGCCTTAAAAACATCAAATGAAATGGACCAAAGCAGATCAGGATGTTCATGGTCGCTGCATCATCACTTTATCAGCATCATATACCTGGAGAACATGTGAGAACTCTGTGCTATATTTAAACAATTTTTAAAGGAATTACATCAAGAGTGTGTTTCAGATTTTTCTGTTGTATCGAATGAGCCCTGTGGCCAATGATTCATCTATTCCTGTGACATTCCTTTAAGATGCTTGGCATCAGTGACATCAGTGCACAGACTCAGTGCTGCATTTCATTCATGTAGCCAAGAGCAAACAGAGACACAACACAGGAGGATGCATGCGCTACGCTCTCATGCAAATCACATCATGAAGCATGTACCCCTTATTTACTCTTATACTTATTAATAATTAGCAATTCGTTGCAAAACCATTCAGGGTTCAAATGAAGTAAACAACATTTGAAACAAACAGATTTTTTTTTTCTTCCTGGAAGTGTGTTGTAATGCAACACTTTAAGAACAACATCACCACCTGGTGGAAAGAGCTACCAACAAGCTTCATGTCCTGAGGCAGTTTTATTTACCACCATCAAAATTCAAGCTGTCATATGCTATACAGCCCCATACTGATTAAAATACAACTGTTTTATCCTATAAACTTATTTTGTTAATCACTTTCTAAGAATTATTTGAGGCAGACAAGAAGATGAAGCATTAAGAATAATGCAAAGTATTGTTAGTGCCTTCTGGTGCGTAGCAGCAGCCAGAAACTGCTCTCCTTTCACAGTCTATCTTCTCTCCCATTTATTATGTTGCCAAGCAGCGTTTTTCTTCTGACCTCCAGCCTTGTCTCTAGACAAGAGGACAGACACAGAAAGTCACTGTTCGGCCCAGAAACAAAGCAGGGAAAGTTCCCTCATCCATCAAAGGAACTTAAGATCTCTGACAATGTCCTGGGCCCGGCTTAGATCAAAGAGGGAGATGCCAGCTGTACTCAGGTCCGGCAAATGACTGCCCACCTCGTTCATCCATCATGCTTGAAAGTGAGATAGCAAAATAATAAAACCTTTTCAGGTAATGGCCACGGTTAGGTCTCACCATTAGACACGTCCCCTATCCTACAACCTTGTATTAGGCTATGATTGATGACTTGATCTGAGTGTACATTAAAGGATCTGCTTGAAATTCACTTTTTGTTGCCGCTCAGACATGGAGGCTGATTAATGGGTGCCAGTGAAACTTGTAGTGTTCTTCTGGTGGCTATGTGGACACTGTGAAAACAAGATCTGATTGGCTATGTGCAGGGAGCCTTTGGATTAGTTTGATAAATAATAATTACAGTTCCTGGGCTTACCCCGAGAGGATGGCAACAGACTCATGGGGACAACACAAAGCCAGAGACAGAGAGGAGAGAAAAAGAGATACAGAACAACAGCTGCAATGCATGCTATATATACACACTTTTACTATGACATGTTGTTGATTCATAGGATATAAATATATAAATAATAATAATATATAAAATGTCCATGTTTTCTACAGCCCAATGATCCACATACACAGACAGCA